CATAGAAAACTGAAGATCTAAGTTACTACATCGTTGAGGAGTATTCTATGACAAATATACCCATTGAAATATAAAATAAGAAAGATTGGTTCGACGAAGAGTTCTATTTTCGGTGAATTTATTTTCAAAGCTGTACGATCGCAAATATATATGCTTATTTTTCTGGATGATGATAATAATTACAATAATAATCATAGTAAAATTCTGTTAAACATGGTAACAGCGAGGTAGAATAAACAAAGGTATTAAGAAAAATTACTTTTTTATTATCAGGGAAACTAATAATAGTTTCAAGGAGGAAGAATGTATTTGTAAAATCTCAGCAAATGAATTTTGAAGTTAATCCAACGTTTCGCCTGGTAATCCGGGTAGCAGATGGCTGTCAAGTAATAAAAATTTGAAGGAGAATTTAAATTATGAGACATTAAGATCGTGGTAGAATAGGAGGTTTTATTAACTTTTTTGGACACATATATCTGGTTTTTCCAGATGTGTAGCTATTGCTTAAGAACGTTAGGAAGATGAAATAAAGCTGCATTATGCAGCCTTTGATTGAGTGACCTACGTTCAAATGGTGTTTGATTATTGAGTTTCATATCGAACCACTGTGTAAACCCATTCTTCTTGTTTATCTTTTTGGTCTTCGTTCTTAATTATTCTTTTTATAAAATCCCTCGGATAATTATTCGTCATTAGAGTGGATATAATTAAATTCATTTCAGTTTCTATATCATTTAGTTCAGTGACGAGTTTTTGAACTCTGGTTATCAAATTCTTGGCCACTGTTGCTTTGGTGGAGTGGAGATATGCTAACTTCTAATCTAGATATTTCCATGAATATGTTAGCTTCCTGAATATATTATTTTTAAACAATCATTATAATGACAAAAGTGTCATCAACTTTATATTCCATATTTGGTTACACTTTCATATAGTTTAAGAATCTTGGGTAAGTATTTAGAAACACTTTTGGTTGATGAATTTGTATAGTCAACCACAGGTCTTAGTGGGATATTAGTTTTATGTATTTATGGTAGGCAGTCAAATCTACAAATTTTATTGCTTAGCGGAAATAGTCAAAACCATCAAGATGGTACTAGTTTCAATTTTAATTCCTTGAAAAAGCTTGTACCAGATTGCCAGGCGAAACGTTGGATTAACTTCAAAATTCATTTGCTGAGATTTTACAAATACATTCTTCCTCCTTGAAACTATTATTAGTTTCCCTGATAATAAAAAAGTAATTTTTCTTAATACCTTTGTTTATTCTACCTCGCTGTTACCATGTTTAACAGAATTTTACTATGATTATTATTGTAATTATTATCATCATCCAGAAAAATAAGCATATATATTTGCGATCGTACAGCTTTGAAAATAAATTCACCGAAAATAGAACTCTTCGTCGAACCAATCTTTCTTATTTTATATTTCAATGGGTATATTTGTCATAGAATACTCCTCAACGATGTAGTAACTTAGATCTTCAGTTTTCTATGAGTAGTATTGTGAACAATAATTTAAATCGATTGTAAAATTTTGGTTTCCGGGTGTCTGAATTCATTGGTAAACATTATTCACTTAACATTAATTTTTACACAATGGTATCTATGTGTCTGAATTCTCTTCATAAACTGTTGATTTTCTATGGTAAACATTATTCACTTGACATTAATCAGTGAGTTCATATTGTCTGTACTGCATGAGAACTTCTACAAATACAAATTTTTTGGTAAAAAGAAATAAACTGACATTTAGGAAAATTTAACGTATTTTTTAATTTATACAGTTTGACTATCAATAATAGTAGTAATAATAATACTAATAATGGTAATAGTATAAAAATAGACAAATTCGTAAAAGGAACTAGTTGCATGAAATATAAAAACAAAACAAACATGATATGATGTAGAGACAATGCTGTGCAGTATTATATTCCAATATTACCCTGTGTTTTTTCATAGTAGATATCAACTCACATTCAAAGTGAACAAAGCACAGTCCTTTATAGGACCCTTCAACAAACTGATTAAATGGTCATCGACAAACATACCTGTGTCAAATAAAGTATTCACATCGGTATACACACTTATTTTACGCTTACTTACCTACCATTTTTATCTAATGCATTTCGTCTACAGTATGAAAAGAAGATTCAGTTAACTTGCCTAATAATAAGTATTAAGTTGAATTGTTGTGTGGTTTGTACATTTGTGATTAGGAGTTTCAGTATACAAGTTGACCTATTTACGATGTATGTATATATGGACTTATATAAACCAGTAGTAATTTGACATGATTTTCGCAACTGATTTATTTTAACAAGTTGACAGATTTGTCAGGAAATAAGAATTATTTGATAATACAGACTGTTTGAACCATATCAATCATTTGTCTGATATGAATGCCATGTTTTCATTCATATACACATTACTATTAGTATTTCACAAAGAATGCAACAGTTCTGATAGATCATTTAGGAAATAATCATAAGATGTTAGATAAATCTTTCAGAATGTATTTACTCTTGGTGGATTATTAAATGTAATAATGAAAAATCACGATTATCAACAAATGTACTATCAAAGCCTATCCAAAGAGTCGTAATATTGTGGTGTTTGTATGAACTAATGATTCGTTTGTACTTGATGACTGTCTGGTTTCGAAATCCGAATGCAATACGTTCGTTTGTGCTCATCTAGTTCTTCTTGGTTAAATTGCGTTATTTCTGGAGTTCCTGGTTTGTACTGTCATTCAGATACTTCAAACTACCATAAAAATTTAATGTGATTCATATTTTGTTATAGAGTGTTCATGATGCAATGAATTGTGAATTAAGTGATTTTGGTGTGTCATATGGATGTCCGTTGGTGCTCAAGATATTATTTGTAATGTTAATGAGTCGCATGATATGTATGTTTATCAATAATAAATGGAATTTTACGACAAGAAATTGTTCCTATTATTTTTGATGTAATTTGTTGTTGCGCAGGCGGATGATTTAGGTAGACTTTCTTTGTCTGACTAAGCGATTCAGCTCAGAGGATAAATCGCTTATGAATATATTTACTACTTAGATAACAGATTTCCTTTTACTAACGCCAGCTGTATTTACCCGTATCTTCTGTGACATGCACATAAGAAAAATATACAGGATATTATTTAAAAGAACCTCAATCAGACACCAACTAATTCTACAGTGAGTGTTTTCACATTACCGAACAGGGTCAGAATTTAATCCGTTTCAAAAATTGTCTACTACTGTTGAGTGAATTTTAGTTAAAAATGTCATAAAAGACGTTCCTTATTGCACATGTAATTCCAAAAACATTGGTTTTTGTGCTTCCTATAAAACTGAATCAACTTTTGTTTTATATATTACTGACAATGAAAATCTGGCAACTAGATTTCGTTTACTAATATTTAGTTGATCAGATGAGGTTTATTCGACGAATTTGATTTGCTTATTATTATTATTATTATTATTATTATTATTATTATTATTATTATTATCATTACTAGGTAACATATACTTGACAGTTATTTATGCAAAGTGGATTGTCGTTGATTACAGTCAAAACAGTGGTCAAATGTGCTTTCAACAAATAAAAACAATCAAATAACTTATTTAAACTAATGTGTTTAAATTACTATTTCAACAGCTTATAGATAATGATCAAGTCGAAACTAATCATTCACTGAAAAACCAGACAAAGATAAAACTTGATTAAATTTCAGTTTCAATTCAAGTTTCACTAATCGTACATACATTCCAGTGAATTTAATTGTTTAATTTCTTAAATAAGTGCGTCGGCTTAGTGGTCAATTTCAATTGTACTAAGAGTGGATTAACAACCTTCTTAGAATAATAAAGTTTATCAGTTTATACCTCATCATAAATTTCCTGCCTTTTAAACACTTGGAGTTCGTTTTATCTATGACATCGATTTGTACATGTCTTTGGGACTATTTGAAACAGGCATAATTTATTGTTAATACATCACTTAGTCTATTTACATGCGATCAATATTTCATGGAATCAACTCATTTCACCAGTTTAGTGACTTCATATAACTTTCATTGTATTTTCGTAATGTCATCACATATTGTTTACTGCATTTATTTTTCTGTAAATTTGCTCAAAATAAAAGCCAGTGGCAATCCTGCTGTAACCTTCTTTTACTTTCTTCATTAAAAGTGGTTGTATCTTCCTTACCTGAAACAATTCTTCTAGTTGTACCTTTCCGTTTCCTCCATTATTACTATTATTGCACTACCTTACACGAATCTGTGGTCGTTATTGTTCTTTTTTTCCTTATACGCACCCTACCTTCTTTTTTGTGTGGCGCATATATATTTGGTGCCCCCTTGTAACAATATTTATGTGTTAAAACAAATAAATAATCAGTAAATATTTCTATACACTCGGTGTTTTATAGAATATTGAGTGGCGAATTGATGGCAATTATTTCATTCCACCAGATTTTACCAAAAACTTCACATTCTACTGAACACATCATCTAATGTCAATTTTAAGATTACGAGTAAAGAACTGTATGCTACGATAATAATTTACAATACTATACTTATTAAATCTTAACTCATATGAGCGTTGTCTTAGGAGCTTAGTAGATTTTTTAAAGTCTCTTTCTTTAGGTTATGGGCCATCTGATTGGTTTAACTGCCTAGGTTAAAATATTACCAAATAACCAATTAAACAAACAGATCTCAGACGGGTAGAGAAACTTGAAATTGGGACAGCCTTTACAGTCCTAACGACTGTTGTTGTTCAGCACAATAGGTAAAGATTAAAATATCAGACCCTTACCACCCCTCTCGAACAATCACCATCAAGCAAAATACTCTGATAGGTGGAACGACAACTGATCGATGTGGATTAGCTTGAAGCGACAAGTTGTTCACAAACTCACATGCACACATAAGCGACAGAGTCAACTATAAATATTCAGTCAGTTATGGTTCTTTATCGAGTTGCAGAAATGTGTCGCAAGTGCTTTGAACAAGTGAGTTTCTCTCTTGATAATATTAGCTTTACACTGTTATTGTCGTAACAGGATCGTAAACATGATTTCCTAAAATATAAACACTAGTGTTTAAGTGCATAGAACTCAACTGCATTCCGTCAACTAAAGCTTTATGATAAGTTGATTAATACTATCACAGAATATGAGTTCCGAATATATAATAGCCATATTATATTTGCGGATATTTTATCATCAATGTTTCTTTAGACAATCTGATCGAAAAAAATATTGAAGTTCTCGAAGTAGGTCATTAGATACCCATACCTTGTACCCTAGATATGAAGTAAAATTTGCCTCGGTATGTTGACCATGAGTTTTCATGTGGAGATAGACATACAACGTATCTGTTATTGTTTCTAACCATATGAGAGCTTAAGACAATGGCTATGCCGTTTGATTAACCGACCCACATTGCAGCAGGATATTAGATAGGGTGCTAAAGACTTAATGACAAGCAACTAAATTGTCAGTGCACACATCACAAGACTACCACAATTGCTGGAATTGATTCACGCTATGATAAAGTTAGTTAGTATGTAATTAAGTACTAAGATAACACTATCAAATCAAGAAAGTGAAGTTTTTATTTTTCAACCAAAAGCATTCAAGGTTCTTGTAGCTCAAACTATTATTCAGAAAAATCGATCTTACAATTATTTTTACAGAAATGGCCATCATCACTCTCCTACTATGATGACAAGTTTGAAGAGACGTTAAAACAAGACAGAGAAATCAAAGATGTCGTGGAAGGTCTTCACCAACTATCACTCCCGTGTCGTGATGACAAATCTAAAATAAGATCATCAAGGCAATGTGAAGCCGAACGTGTTATAGACGGTATTCAAAGTTTTTGGTGTAAAACTAAGTCCAGGTTGACCTAAGTTTGTCATGTATAGGAAATTTGTTTACTCACAATATCCGCGTTTACATATTAATAAGTGTTTTTTATGGTTGATCTAGAATTCTGTTCAGTTTGATACAATGGTTCAGATGATTATTTAATTTTTTTTTAAATCTTTTTGATTTTAGATTGTATGAATGGCTTGGCTGTTGTAGGGGGTGCAGTTTTGGGAGCGGCTGCGTTGTTCGGTATTGGGCTCGCTGTTGGTCTCGGTTCGAAGGAGTTGAGACGTCGCAGATATTGACTTGAAATGTCATTAGATGTCATAAAATAAACAATCATTTTTAATCCAAACTTTCTTTTGACTAAAGCTCGTTCCTATGTTACTTAATACTGAGTATTTGAGGACGAATCGTTTCGCCGATGGTGGGATAAAAGTTTTTCTACGTTATTAGTCCTAAATGCATGTGGTGTCGAAAATACGCAATACAAGCTTAAGAAACGGGGACGACATAGATAGTAAGCCTCACGTTGATATGAACAGCGGATGCGATGGTATTTAGATTAAGTACAGGACTGAGTGAACAAGACGACATTAATGTCTGTGGATTTTTCATACTGTTGATAAGTCGATAAAATCGAGATATATGTAATGTGAGAATCTGAGATTACTCGTACTTCGCTAATTCATGTTAGGTTGTAAGCGTATGGAAATGAAGTAATCGAAAATACGTGAATTTCTTATTTGTACTGTATTTGTCAGATAATTTTAGGTGAATTCACAATGAAACTGGTTACAACTTGCACATTTTCTCCTCGACCGTAAAGACCCCTCATCCAGTTACTATATGTTTGTATGTGTTAATTGGTGATAGTATGTATTCATTATCACATTTACGGAGTGTGACCTACATATGTCATTATATATCACTTATTTTCATGAGCAAATAAATTCAACTTTACACGTAAGTGATCTTAAACAAGATAATAATAATAATAATTTTACATTCTGAAAAATAATAATTACAGAATTCACGCCAGTTTACAGGCATGATCAATTTGATATAAAGAGGAACATTAGATGTACAGAACAAACATGTGATAGAAGAACGTTTTAAGTATACAAGTTCAGTAGTTGTTTAAGTAGTACATATATTACAGCGATCCAATGCATCAGCCGGGAATTTTTAATATTTCTTAAATGGACAGCCTGTTGATTTATGAACGGTGTAATTAAGGTCAATTCGTGTGCCAGATCGAATTGATGAGAGAAATTAAAACGAAAACAGAGAGCATGGAAAAACAAAGCAGTAATTACCAAAATATATGAATCAGGTCTACCTAAATGCGTGTGTCATGTGACACAGTGATATACTGTTTATGTTATTCAAATTAGTTAAACTTGCTAGGGACAGTGTTAACATATTGACAGCAAGTGGGTGGTTTTACCTAGGGGATTCACTAATAAAGATGGCTAAACATTTAAAGTTCCTAAAATATCACTTGTGGAATGAGATACACTTGCAGGTGCTAGACCATTCAATGCATTTTCAGAGGAGCAGTATGCATAGATGCAGCAAACAAATAATGGGAGTGATTTTATCGTGCGGATAGATTGTGGTAGGTTATTCCATAGTCTAGAAAATTTACAGGTGAAGTAATTCATATAAAGAGATGATTTAGAATGAGTTTGTTTCACTAGTGCCAAGGAATTACGGATGTCATAATGAGGAGTGTCTGCATATTGAATCGCGTGACTGGATGTAAACGATAGTTTATGAAGTAGTTTGAAGAAAAACATAAGATTTAGTTTGAGTCTCCTCCTCCATAAAGGGTCTAGCCCAAGTTTATTACATCTAGAATCATAAGTTAAGGTACAATCAGCCCCAAGAATACGAAGTGTAAATCGTCTCTGTACTGATTCCAGCCTTAATTTATCCTTTATGATGATATAACACATAATAATATTATTGACTATATAACCACATGTTCGCACGGTCAAGCGTTTCAGAAAGTTGTCTGATGGTATAATTTAGGTAAGACGTATAAACACTCAGCCCATAAAGCATTAGTTCAGTTTCTCATTTATTCATTGTGTAAAGAAACACCTGAAATGGTAGATGTCATGTAATGTGCAAGTGTTTTATTCTTTCGATGTGTTTCAGTACAGAAATTAATAAGCCGTTACAAAATCCATTTTTTTTCTATTTGTACATTCTTCGTAGTCTACGATGAAAGAGAAAACACCAATTAAACATAAATAAAGCCTGAAAGAGTTACTTCTTTATCTTCGCTCTGTCTTTCATGAGTAATAACTGCTATATTGATCTGAGAACTGAGTGAATGTATTGTGACATATATATTCAGTGCGTTTCGTAAGGACACACTTTATATATAATTACATATCCAATATCTATCGTTACTCTGTATCAATGGTAAAGAAACGGATATAATTGTTTTCCTATACACACACTTACACACACACTAACGCGATTATAAAGAATAGACGCTCTCTTTATTATTATTATTATTATTATTATTATTATTATTATTATTATTATTATTATTAGCTTTGTTCAATATTATATTTTTGGTACAATATAGAATTCTCAGCACAAAGTATTTCATAAAGTTTCTGTTTCTTACTTCTTGGTCGATCCTGACGATAAATATTGAGTGATTTTGGTGGAGTTTTGTTCTCAGAGAACAAAACTCCACCAAAATCATCCACCTGAGCTACAAATCTTCTCCACCATCTCAATATTGAGTGATCGCCCATTAGATGTGAGCAGTCCAGTAAATGAATATCTGAATAATGTACATTCTTTTCGCTGCATATTGCCAGCCACCACAATATCTCTTATTGGGCTTTTTGTAACTTTGACAACAAAAGATTGTACACTTTTCAGTGATTCTCGTCACTGGTTTATTTGTATGTGGTGATAAAGACTCATTTCCTTTTGGTTATGGATATTCATTTGGTTGTGTGAATTGCGTGCGGAGTTTGACGAAAGTCAAATAAGTTTACGCTTAAAAACAATACGACTTGCCTATTAATAAAATTAATCTTTACGATAAAATCGAACACTTGTATTCATACATGATTATTAGTCATTTAAATCATAAACTACCATAGAATACGAGTTTAGAGGTTAAATCTATCATTAGAATTGAGATTTGAACATCTGGCTTAACTCTCGCTCGTTTTAACTTTATCAATCATTTAATAATTTCTCGTTTTAGCGTTCGGAGTCCAAAAGCGATTTTGTAGAAAAAATGGAAGTTGATTTATCTAAAAAAGCCAACGGTCTAATAGAACCGGAGCGAGCTGCTAATTAACTGGGTTTCTGTCACATTGTTTACTCTTAATAATTTTTGTAAATGTCTTTGTCCCTGTCTTCTTTTATACAAATAATCCCCCGTGATCCACATGAAGGTCATGTTTATGATATCCTGTGTTCATTGTTTGTTTGACATCTAACTATATGTATTCTCTCTTCTTATTTTCCGGAATGGCCTGTCATATTGTACGCATTTATTCGACTTAAATACTACTAAATTGTACAGTTCCTGCAAAAGTATACCATTTGCTATTCTAATGTTCAGTGAATTCAATTTTGCTTATATGTTTTATGATAAAGGTAGGTAATAAAAAATTACAGTATTCAAATGACCACTTTTCTGTAATTCAAAAATATATCGACCAGCTGGCAGCAGGATGGAAAATCAGTTTCCGTACAAGTTATTCATTTTGTACAGTTTTGTTTAGAAAATGAGTACGTAAATAAACAGCAACATTTCACTGAGTCACTTCAAAGTAGTGTTCTTTTAGTTAGCGAAAGTTAAGCTATATTAATAAGTGCTACTGGAATAAGAAAGTTTAGTTTGATGTATACGAAAACTTATTGTCTATTTGAACTTACAGTTCTATGCATTAACAACAGGTTTAGTCACAGAAGAATATACATGCCCCTTATGCGAATACCCAGTTATAACAGCTACATGTTATTAGTTTCCGAAATAAAAGGAGCACAATAATACTGTTTTGTGATACAACTAATCGTGGATTTTAAAATGACTTGTACGTCACGATCTGTAAAGTAAGTATCCATTGTTTATAAAGCTGTATCTCGTACTATTTCTAACTTTCACGTTGAAAAATCTATAGTGAGTTTATGGGACAATCACTATGCAAACATTTAATGTCAGAAATTAATATGGGAGAATAACGATTACTTACTGACTGCTTTGAAAAATATGGAGAATATTTGTAGGACTTAGTCCATTTCGGTGGCGAAGTTCTGGTTATCCTACTTGAGTTTACCCATAAAGTTTTGTTAGAGCAAATGGTTGTGTCTAAACATAGATGCTTCCAGATTTTCAGCAGTGGCCTAGCTTAGAATTCAACTGATAAAATTACTATAATCTCCACAAACCCCAATTCTGATAATAAGTAGAATGTGGTGCAACAGAAGGGATAAGTAAGTAATATGAGTGAAGTATCCAACTTTCGTTTGTTTGGTGGTAGCCTTTCTGATATTTCGCCATTGGAAATTGTTGTCACGTAATCTTAGAACTAATTTGATTGATATGTTTTACAGCGAGTCTCTAATACTTGGGCCTCACTACAAGTCTTTGTAATTCCAATAGATAAGTATGGTTGTGATGTGTATGCTTTTGTGTAGGACTCAAATTGTTTTTCTAGTCATATGCGGGAACTAAAGGTAAATTAAACACAGTATTTAAAGTTCTCAAATATGTTTTAGCATCTGATATTTGTTTATGTAAAATTTGTACTAACTGATTATTCCTGTGCAATTGATTACGTTCATTAGTGCTCATCTAGCTTAAATTACATTCGTGGTGACAGTGAAATGTCGCTGATCTCTATCCAAATCATCCGGCAGTTGAGTCACTTAATATCGAAAAGATCATCAATCCCTGTCAAGCACATTCAACGCGAATCGGTTAATCGTACACCATGTATAGCAGTTCCAATGGTTGTGATATGTATGTTTTTGTGTAGGACTTTGTCTGTTCATAACAAATGACAAGAAATTATCAGTTAAATGTCAACTGGAAGTTGTCCAATTCGCTTTTTTGCATTTCCGCTCATGCCTAGGATATCATAGATCGAGCAAACTCTGCCACTGTAGTTTTCACGAGAATTATAAGTCAATCCCGTGCTTACGAATCTGTTATCAGAATGTTGGATGAGACCTCACAATTATTTTCGTTAAACTCAAATAACGCTATTTATTAAGTAGACTACTGGATAGTGTCATAAATAATAAGTTTCAATAGGTACATGACAAGGGTATTTTTGATACATAGCTAAGTAACATAACTAATTTAAGAGCGGAAAATGACATGAGAACAGTTACTGAGTAGAAACGAGAGCTTACAATTAGAAAAATGTAGAAGTTAAGTACAACAGCTATTTGATAAATTTTTGTCAAGAATGTAGTAGCTACTTCGCAAAAGAACGACCACTCGAACTTCGTGGACTTTGTTTATTCCTAGAAGCGTTCAACCCATTGGTTCAGGCTCTAGGTAACCGCTATGGACAATCCATGTAACACAGCTCAAAATGCTGGATGATTAGATTTGATCCTCGGTAAGAGTTACACCCTGATATGCAGCGCTCACTCACCATATCAAGGAAATAATGGATGAAAACGCTTTGAATATTACAGTGTGATGGACATGATTTGTCCATAGTTGACTAAATGCTCCAAAATAGTCTTTTTAAAATAATCTACACATTTAAAGGAATTAAATCGAAGGGAGGTCGAGTCAAAAACTTATGCACTGCTGAGGTATTGGCATTTCACCAACTGAAATCTGCGTGCAAATACAATAAGACCAACTTCTCATCCGTCTTTGGCCCCAATTCCATTTTTGTAGTATGTTTTAGTTAATTTTTCTAAATCAGTGTTTTGTAATTTTACACCGCAATCAGTTACTATTATCCTTTAACAGTTTTTTCATGATTATTATTACGACCTTTGTGTTTTTCATTTTTCTCACATCTGTCAAGTGGACAGTTATCTTTGTAGTAGTAAATAAATCCCTGAAATCAATAACTCTGTAAGTCTTCGACGTTTGATACTGCCCAAATTAGTTTGGATGGACTCACCTAGCTGAAGTCACGCATCCGCACCAGATCACGAGTGAGAACGCTGTGCTTCACATCTACGACCACTAGCCAGTTTAGATTAGTCACTTTTCGATATATCGATATTCTATCATATATATCTTCGAACCTCCTCGCATTTGATTTCACTAGGTTGGCACGTTTCGATTATAAAAGGTGTTACTGGTTAAGGTGTTTTCAAACTCAGAATATTTGTGGCATGTTTATCTTTTATCATTCTGACTCGTAAATTATTTTCGTCCTCATACACTTCTCTTACCCCTTGAGTATTTCTTAACTTCATTTGATAAAAAGAGTCTCGAATCACTTTATGACGCAATCTTTTCTATCCTCCTATAGACACGTATTTACCTCACAACTATTGATACGAATGTGCAGCATCGGCAAATGAATTTATTTCAGCTAAAGTAATTTCGAACTTGCGTGCATTGACTTGGCTTTCGTGTATTTATTGCATCAAAGCATACTTAGTCAACTTTGAATTGATTTATTTCGGCTGGGGTTTTAAATGTTTTTCAAATCCACTTTTGGTTTATTTTTAAGATGGTCGGCCCTACTCAGAAATGTGGACTGCCATATTGCTTATTCCCTGTGGAGGAAGGAATGAAATGTGGTGAGTGTAATGCGTGATTCCATAAGATTTGTACTCGCCTGAATACCACTGCATATAAAAGGTGCTCAGTACCTAACTCCCATTGGCTTGGTATCTTTTGTTGTTTGAGCAGGGCATTACTCATCAAAGAGGCGATTAGCTTTCTGTTGTTGCCTAACAAATATCGTTATTCTATCAAATATATATTTGAACCTCTTCGTTTCTAACTTCCGATTTCCCTAGATAGGCACGTTTTATTATAGGTGTTACTGGTTGAGTTGTCCAATTCCGAATAATTGTGGCATGTTTATAGAGTAGTAAATTATGTCTTATAACACAACTATACATAATTCATAAAGATTTGTACTTGTTTTTGTCTCATTTACCATAAAGTATATTGCTTTATGCGGGAACGAAAGCGTTTTCTTCTTTGTGATCATCGGGGGTATGAATGGTTAAGTTATTTGGTTGTATATCTGCCAGGAGCAAACTCATGTCTCTTTGAATGATCCATTTGAGTCCATTCTACGGTCTTGATTTTTATTTTTAAGTTTATTCAATGTTGTATATTTGGCATATTATAGAATTTTCAACACAAAGTATTTTAACGAGTTTCCGTTTCTTATTTCTTGGGTGATTCTGACGATAAATATTGAGTGGTTACCAGTTAGATGTTAAGAGTTCAAGAGTCGACATCTGAATAATGTACATTCTTTTCGGTGCATATTGCCATCAACCACGATGTCTATTATTGTACATCGAAAGGCTACGAAGTTTCCATGAAATTACGGAAATAAATTATGCAATTTATGGACACAATGATGTGTTAAAAAAACAGATAACTTGTTAAAATTCCTAGATGGCAGCGACAAATAACCTAGATATGCAAGCAAGCCTTAATGTTAATTGCCTTATATAGGATTATTTCTTGGTACAACTGGCAGATGCATTTGATTTATAGACCATTACCGTAGTGGACCCAAATAAAGTGACAGTACAATGGCTTGCCATAATGGATAAAGTGCATTTAAATTAACTAATATTGGAACAGAAAGAACACGCAGAAACTCTCTGAACAGCATTCTATTGGCGAATATTGCCACTTAATTGGTGGAGAACACATTTAAGCTGGAGATAGAATAATATATTTAGTATGAATAAAAGAGACAAGTTACACAAGAATGGCCGCGCTTGTAAGACTGAGCCATGCCATTCGATTAAACTGGATTAATTTTCCCGCTTTTCATGGTTAACCATCTCTTCGTGTCAATTGTTGAATATAAGTCTTTTCAGTAATTATATGCTTGGCTTCAAATGTCCAATGCCACAGCAAATCCTTGACTGCATAGCACAGGCTTTGCCATTTGAAGTGTTTTGCGCTTTTGATCTTATTTGTTTTTTTTTTGCTAAATTTGACCGTTTAAATTAACACGAGCCACTTTAATCGCTCCGTACACTATAAAGAAGAATATAGTCTGACTTAATGGAACAAACTTTGGTTCGTTGGTACTGCGTTCGAACTGAATATTTGTTTTCCGGTTCTTAGATTCGTGCCAAGCAGCCTGCTCAGAGAGGGGAATAATTCGGACTCCAATTGTTGTCCTCGGTCAGTCGTGGGACAACCGTATAGTGCTATCCATCGTTCTACGAAGCGGTGAACAACTGTCTCCGCAGTGATAGACGTGATATGAATAACTTCGGGCCATCTTTTGAAACGGTCGATGCATGTGAATATGTGATCATACCCGTGCGATGGTGGCAATGGTTCCACAATGTTTATATGAACGTGATAAAAGCGAGCATCAGGCGTAGCAAACGAGCCAATGGGGGCAGCTACGTGCCTGTGCACTTTTGATCGTTGACATTGTAAGCATTGCTTTACCCATATATGGACATCTTTACTCGTGGACAGCCAGACGTATCGTGCAGCGATGGGACGTAATGTAGCTGTGATGCCTGGATGAGACAGTCCATGCAGGGCATCGAAGACGAGACAACGGTAAGCAGAGGGTACGATGGGTCGGGGAAGACCAGTAGAAGTACCACATAGGATAGTACCTGAGCTAGTAGCTAGGGGTACTTCCTGGCACTGAAGGGATGTAGGTTGCGGTAATTCTGTACAAAAAGGATCGTTTGCTTGGGCGGCAGCCATAGCAGGAAGATCGAGCACCGGTAAAGTAACTGCATTCACTTTAATACGTGACGGAGCATCGGAAATATAGTTCGACTCGCCTTTAATGTGATGAAGGTCTGTTGTGAACTGAGAGATATGGTCCAAATGTCTGCACTCTAGGGGTGAGTAGCGGTCAGACTTGGTTTGCAGAGCATACGTTAAAGGATTATGGTAGGTGAATAAGATGAAGTCGCAACCTTCTACGGTGTGTCGGAAATGTTTGATGGCACAGTAGGCCGATAGCAGTTCTCGACCGAAAACGCCATATCTCATCTCCATAAGAGTGAAGCGCCGTGAGAAAAATTCGAGAGGTTGCCAACTACTGGAGATAATCTGTTGCATAACGGCTCCTATAGCAAAATTCGATGCACCAACCGCTATACTAAGCGTAGATGATGGGTCAGGATGAGCGAGGAGTGTGACTTGAGCCAGAGCCGTTTTGATCTCTGAAAATGCAGAACATGCGGAATCGTTCAATTTTAATTTGCGTGGATTACCGCGAAGCAAATCGGTTAATGGTTGTAACCGTTCTGGCGCGTGTGGGATGAAACGTCGGTAGAAGGTAACCAAACCGAGAAACGCCTTCAGTTCCTTGAGTGTGGACGGTACGGTGTACTCCTTTATTGCACGTACTTTGTCCTAACAAGGTAAAATACCCTCTTGCTTAGTGATGTGACCTAAGAACATTATTTCCGATTTCCCCAGTTCACACTTGTCCGGGTTGACTACTATTCCATTATCCCAAAGGCGTTGATAATGTTCATCTACGTCTGATGATGCGATTAGCAGGTCATCAATATAGACGTGAACAAAATCAAAGTCTCGTACTATGTTATCGATAAATTTTTTGGAAAGTTTGAGCAGCATTGCGTAATCCAAATGGCATTTGTAGGAACTCAAACAGGCCAAAAGGAGTCATGATAGCAGTTTTCTCTGTCTTCGAGAGCGACTGGGATCTCATGACATACTCGTATCAGATCGATCTTAGAAAAAGTAGTCATGCCCTTGAATGATACCGTGGTGTCGTGTATGTGGGGGATGGGGTAACTAGCAAGAAACTAAGCCACGATTAATGCTCGGCAGTAGCCATATGGTCTCCAACTAACCCCATCCCTTTTGCGAAACATGTGGAAAAGTGAGACCCAGGTACTGTGAGAAGGACGAATAATACCAGTAGTTAGTAAAATGTCGAACTCACATTTAGCAAAAGCTAATTTCTCCAGTGGCGGTCGACAAGGTCTTGCCGTGACTGGGGGTGACTAGGTGGTGTACCACATGATTGGTCTCCTATGGGATCTCCTCGAGAGGTTTAGTCAATTGGAGGGAATTTCTGGAATAAAGCGCGGAATATATCGTCACGCGAATGAAATACGTCTGTGGTTCGGTACGTGTTTGCCTGAGCTTTAAAGCTCCTGAGTTTACTGTTTGACGAAGTATCGATTAGCTGCAGCCTACGTGAATCGACTAGCATTCATAGTGCTGTAGAAAATCGATACCGAATATGACCGTGGGAACATCGGCAATGATGGACGTCCACAGATACTGTCGTCGGCTGCTCAGGTTGACCGTACGCTGTCATGTACCGCAGGTGGGAATGACTTAGCCATTCGCAGCGCGTGGTCGAAGCATTGTAGCTTGAGACTTACTGTTACCAACCGGTACGACAAAATCTTAGGGAACCTGTATCTACTAGGTACCTAGCGTTAGTGCGATAGTCATGCACATAAAGTAAACGACCAACTTAAGGTTAGGGGCCGGCGAGCACGGCCGCATTTATCGGCCAGCACGGGAGTTTCCAGCCTTGTATGAACAGGGGGCTCGACAACGGCGAGCACCGCACCCAAAGACACGGTGAAACCAGCTCAAACCAGTACTCGCTTTCAAAGTCGCCTCCTGGCGTGGGTTGGAATATGCCTGCTTAGGGCGAGTAATTACGCCTTCATGTGACCGCGACATGGCTCGTGGGATGTAGGGTTCTGATATGCTGGAACGGTTTCGGAAATTGAGACGGCTATGTATACGTGACGTTGAGGCGACTATATAGATGTTTCAAGTGCTAGCCCTTGCTCATACCTTGTCTGCTATCAGGGAGACCTGGTTAAGTGGTGCATCCTCAATAGGGCCGTAAACTTAGGCTTTATATGTGTTGGTAATGATTCGAGCCACAATCCCTTAAATATTCCGGAATCGGCTGTCATGGGTCCTGCTAAAAATTGCAGGCACGTGAGTAGGTGGTTCGGTTTAGCATCAGCCAAGGGGTGACGTGCTAATAATGTTCGCAAAACGTCCCCCCCTCGACGGGAGGAAATATTTGAGAATCGCCTAGTTGAGACGATCCAACGATCGTCAGATACATTGGGATTGAGCACCACCTCACAGTCAAAGGCAATATGATCCCAGGCAGCGTTTCCAGAGAGTAGGCGTATATTTGCCGCCGTTTCGTAACATGGCGGATCTTGAATCGAGCCTTCAGTACCGGGAAACTGATTTCTGGATCGTGGGGGATAAAAGAGATAGGTCGGAAATTGATAACCTGTAGATCGGTGTCTATTATATTAATGACATTCTTACCGTTATCCATTATTTCGAGTTGTTGCCAGGATATTATATATTGAAAAGTAACGTTATGAAATGTGAAACAAATCTGGATGGATAGATGTTAGACTGACAGTAATAGTCTTCTTCGAGAGATTTTCCAATGGTTGAGCCGTGTCCGAAGTTGTCACTCACCAGATGTTGTAGGTGTCGAGTCGCGGCTGACTATGATCACCACTACAGCAAGACTACGTGCCAGTTACAGGTTAGACCCCTCCATAGGCCAAATATCAGAAGGTAGTTGAAGGTTGTAGTTAAGGTGCATTCGTTGGCGATCTCGTGCTATCGAAATAATAACGAGGTCTTGCCAAAATCTACAAACGAGTGTTTTTAAAAGATCACAGACAACGGAAGTGTTTTTTTGGTACACTTAAACAAACAGGTATGGCAAAACAATAACTGTTACAGTTCGCTATAATAATAATCGTTTCCATTACAACAATCGCGTTCTCTTCATATAAGTAGGCCACTACATGTTCACAGAACTTTACTAAGAATGCAATAACAGGTTGTCAACCTTCCATCCTCAATACAAAAATCTGAAATATATCCTAAATCGGGCGAACTCAAGATATGTCATTCTGTTTAATAGATTCTAGTTGGCAACAGGTGATCAACAAAGTCTGGTAGTACCTTCTAAACCCAACACATCTATTGAAGCAACGTATCGATGAGAGTCCTCATGTCTACCAAAAGAGACTTGGATTTTTAATTTTAATTTCCTGACTTTAACATTAATTTTGGAAAAATTGAGTTGTTTGCTATACGACCTTGAGAATTGAAGCACAGCCAACACGTAGGACGCTTAACAGAAAGAAGCTTGAAAAAACAGTTCTTTGTTGTGTCCCACACTTCAAATGGCAACAAAATGTAGACTAGCTCGCTGACCGTCTGAAGAATAACTAAAACTAAGGTCAGATACTGAAAGACCTCACAATTGTAGACTTTCGGGTGATGCGGCTTCGACAGAGAATAATGTCAAAGACAATTACAATTCAACCAAGTGGTCTTCGAATCTGTCGCACGTAGATTGCTCAATAAGCGGTTGTAGCCAGCTGTGCAGGGAGATCTCGTCTTATAATACATCACCCGTTCTTTCTTTTGTAGATCTCTTCAAAGTACGATGACTTGGGAATTACAATTAAAATACATACTGACTAATGCTCTAGCTTCTGCTAACTACTCATAATGTATAATAATACGCTTTTTCTTTTCAACAAATTTCTTTAAACATATATATATATATATATATATATATATATATATATATATATATATACCATTTTTCACGTGGGTTGCAGTTTTCGTGTGGTGTGTTATGGGAACAAATCCGAACACAGTAGACGATTGGGGTTATTTCAAAGGTGTTTTAGAAGTTGAAGCAAAATTAGACAATTCGGCGACATTTCAAACGCAGATCCACAAAAAGGGGAAAATCCACATTATTTCCCCCGGTCAGGCGAAAAGCAGACACTTTGGAGCATCTCTCCATTATTTTCCAACGCATATTCCCCTTTATTGGTTGAGTGGAGACCCGAATGAGCCAGATGTAATCGCCTGAACAGGAACTTAGCGAACCCAATCCGTAGACAATAGGGGACTTGACCTTGAAAGTTTCACTTTGATGAGACCAGACAGAACCCAGAAGCGTAAGGGAGGACTGCACCACTTCTACTTTGTCAATGCCATTGCCATCAAGCGCCGTTGACCTGACCAATGCGTGCAGAGAGAAGACGTGGTACACCTGTCTTGACATCGTAAGATAGTTACATTATTTTAGCGCGTCAGTTACATTATCTCTTTATTGTGGTTTATAACTTGAAGTAAAAAACCCCATTATAGTCCATCTTGCTTTAGATTTATCATAAATTATGATGTATGAGATTCATGATTGGATTTAAAACCCATGATTTTTCATGTTTTTTTAAGAAGTAAATAACTGTTCGCACCCGGTCTAAGAAAACGAAGTAACATCTTACTTTGGATATCTCAGACAAACTTATCTTGTAAATAGTTATTGATATTGTTTGCGAAATAACTTTGCCGTGCCTATCTCCACAGTACCATTTGTGACATTACAACACCATAAAAAGAAAGAATCAAGACAGCCAGAAAGTGTCCATATTGAAATATGGTGCCCAGAAATGCCATGGAACGGCCGAAGGTGGGGTGAGTTAGCTCTTCCTTTCTAAATGCCCTCACGTGGCCGCGAGTATATAGCCACTACCAGGGAAGTCCTCACTGCCTTCTTGCGGTGGTTTACGAAATCGAAAGGACGAAAAGCGAATGTTTGGCGCTTTAATCCGGTTGGTGGATATAGAGGATCAACCTAGGGGAGTTGAAGAACCCTTATTCCAAACCAACGGTGCACATGGGCTCCAGTATTCTGAAGGAACAAATGGCGCAGGAACCAATCGTCGGTCACCGGCGACCATGGGACTGCATCTCCTTACGATGCTCCACTGCCTTCTGGGTCAGACATTTAGGTCAAAGGCTCGGAGTATGGCTCCCTAACAAAAGCACCTGCTTCGGTCTGGGCACCCGGGCAGTATCACAGCCGACACACAAACACGATAAAAATGATATTTATGGAAAATACTTGTCCTGCTTCGATTAACAATCAAACGATTCACACTATTATTACTATTATTATTATTATTTTTTACGTCATTTAATCACTTTATTTTATTCCTACTTTATGTATACTTATTATTCGACTTACACAGCAGCTCGTCTATGGTGGAAACTCGGTTCTATCTAAACGTTCTCGAGTCACTGTCCGGTTGAAAATTGTATGCTACCACCAAATACGAATACTGAAGCAGTTTTTCTGAAACCACGTGCAACATTCAAACTGGCTGCCTTCAACGTTCGCACATTTATGCAGGTCGGACAACAATAGGGCTGGCTACGTCTTTGGAAAGTCTTAATATCGACGTTTGTTGTCTATCCGAGACCTATATTCAAGACTCGAGTGAAGTACTACAAATTCGCTCTCCATCTGTCTCTTCGAAAAGCTTGTTTTACGTGCACTTATCCGGGGACCCTGTGGCATCTTCGTCTGGTCTTGCTGGCGTTGGTGTCGCACTAAGCGCTAGAGCTGAGGCAGCACTAATCGATTGGATCCCCATTAACAGTCGGTTATGTGTTGTTAGACCAGAATGTTCCATCAAAGTGAGAAGAAATGGACGTGAGAAACAACGTTTTTTCGCCATCTCCGCCTATGCACCGACAGATTGCAGCCCGGATGCAATCAAGGATGAATCCTACCACCAGTTAACTGTTCTTCTCCAGAAAGTGCGTTCGACAGATATTGTAGTACTAGCCGGAGACTTGAATGCTCAGGTCGGGCGTCTAGGCACAGAAGAGAGTCGTTTAGGTGGCCGATGGGGGATTGTTGGTCGCAGCACAGGTAACGGGGACCGTCTACTGCAACTGTGCACAGACCAAAACCTGTTTCTGGCTAGCACTAACTTTCGGCACAGTCATCGCCGATGTGCCACCTGGCGTCCTCCTTCTGCATCCCAAGCCTGGACTCAGATTGATCACATCGCGATCAGCTACCGCTGGCGTGGTTGTGTACAAGACTGCCGCTCCTTTTGGAGTACCTATCTGGACTCTGATCATGCCTTGGTCTGCGCCAATCTTACCTTACTTTTCAGTGGCCAACGAAGTGACCGCTATCAACGGATTGATGTGAGCAAGTTGGTTGCAACTTCTTTTGCAAATAAGTATCGAACCGAGCTAGCCTCTAGGCTAGCTACCACTCCACCGAAAAGTATAGATGAGCATTGGTTGCAATTGCATGACGCCATGAAAATGGCGGGAACAGTCAGTTGTGGGTTTGCGAAACGTCCCGCTTATAAGCACAGGGTTTCTTCTGGTTCCTTACAACTCATTGAAGCCCGTCGGTCTACTCCGGGTAACCGTGAGTTTGACTACAAACGAAGGTTGTTACGTAGCAAAATTGGGAAAAGCTTGAGTAAGGACCGAGAAGCCTGGTGGTCGGAGCGTGCTAATGAGCTGGAAGCAGCAGCTGCATCTGGTAATTACCGGAAGCTCTTCCAACTCATCCCAGCCACTGGCAGCAAGAAGTCTGGTGTGAGCGAAACAATCTGTGGGGATGACGGGATGCCAATCACTAACATCTATCGACGTCTTGGACGATGGGCAGTTCAACTGGCCTGCTGCTCCGGCAACATCTGTCGAACTGTCCTGTCCCTCTTCGAATTCTCATTGTTTTGTGTGGCGCATATATATTTGGCGCACTCCTGTACCAAGACGTGTGTTCAATAAATAAATTCCGGGACTCATACGACGGACTACAGTGCAAGGTCGTGCATGGAGGACAGCTGACAGACGCATTCCAAATAAGGACCGGAGTCAGACAAGGCTGTCTACTCTCCCCCTTCCTCTTTCTTCTGTTGGTCGACTGGATTATGAAGACCTCGACATCTGAAGGAAAACACGGAATACAATGGACAGCTCAAAATCAATTAGACGATTTGGACTTCGCAGGTGACCTAGCCCTCCTATTGCATACACACGAACAGATGCAGACAAAGACAGCCAGTGTAGCAGCAGTCTCTGTATCAGTAGGCCTCAGCATACACAAAGGGGAAACCAAGGTCCTCAAATTCAAAGCGGAGAACAGCAATCCAATCACTCTTGACGGCGAAACTTTGGAAGATGTAGAATCCATCACATACCTGGGAAGCATCATCGATGAACAAAGAAGCTCAGATGCAGACGTAAAGGCAAGGATCGCATTCCTACAATTGAAGAACATATGGAACTCAGAACAACTTTCAACCAATATCAAAGTGAGAATCGTCAATACGAAAGTCAAGGCAGTTCTACTGTACGGAGCTGAAACTGAGAGAACTACAACAACCATCATCAAACATGTACAAGTATTTATAAATGATTGTCTACAGAATGTACTCAACATCCATTGGCTGGATACCATCAGCAACGGCCTTTTGTGGGAGAGAACAAACCAGCTTCCAGCTGAAGAATAAATTAGGAAACGATTATGGAAATGGATAGGACATACATTACGCAAATCATCAAACTACATCACGAGGCAAGCCCTAACTTGAAGTCCTGAAGGGAAGCGGAAAAGAAGGCCAAAGAACACATTACGTCAGGAAATAGCAGATATGAAAAGGATGAATAACAACTGGAAAGGATTGCTCACGACAGGGTTGGATGGAGAATGCTGGTGAGCGGCCTACGCTATTTCACGAGGAGTAACAGGAGTAAGTAATTTGATTGTTTTTGATGATTTTGATTATTACCTTGAAAAAGTCCA